ATATGTATATATGTATATGTATATATGTATATGTATATATATGTATATATGTGTATATATATATATGTATAACGTATATATTTTTAATAGTTATATTCGACGTAGTGTCAAGAAGAACATGAAAATAACTTTCATCTTTTTTCACATTGTAAGGTATATAAAAATAAAAACGTAATCTCTCTTACAATACGATAAATTTCATTTTAAATATTTGTTAAGATTAATGGACACCGAATTAGTTCGAGCTTCTTAATCATCTTATATATTATATGTATATGTGTGGAGTAATAAAGGAATATTTATGCTTTTTCTATATATAAAAATCCGTGATTTAAATTTACCGCGCCTACATGTCAATGCGAAATGTACAGGCCAAAGTGCAAATTATGCAGTTAGCTGTGTTTTCCATTCAATTTTGTATATCAATTCTTTGTTTAAAATTATGAAATCAGCAATATTAAAAAACGTTCAGAAACATCTTAATACAATGAAAAATTGAAAGATAAAAATGATAGAGAAATAGCTTTGTACATAAACGTTAACTCAGTTTCAAAGCGCTCTCTACATATTATTGAAATATTTTTATTAGAGCGAAAAAAAGAAACGAACATAGTGTCTATGTTAAATGTATCTCTAGATTTCTGTATTTTGTACTCATGTTATCGAAACTTTCATAAACATATTACATGCCAGAAATTTTTACCTTGACATTTGCACATAAATCGTTCTCAATTTAATTTCCAAGTATAAATACATAAAAATCTATAAAACATACAAATATCTTATCAAGTTGTTAACTAAGAAAATAATTCACTTAAACTTTAATTTTTATTCATATTGTTAGATTCTAACCTGCATTCTCCACGTGTAGAATTAATTCCTCGACTGGTGAATAATTCAAGAGGACATCATTTACAAAACTGTGCATTTACAGCATACATTGGTATTAATTATAACACACGCGTGAAATAAAAATTTAAACAAATATAACTGTGGAATATGTATATGACTCTGTCTGACAGCTTACTGATGAACACTGCTTTATATACTGTCATTGATGATTCAGCCGCAGAGTTTAGGACAATAGAGGGATTAAATTATTTAAAAAACGCGAATTTATCTTCTAGTCATACATGATATCGAAAATTTAAATGACTCGAATAGGTATAGTAATAAATATCTCGTCCCTTGTAAATTTTATTGCCTTTGTTTTAAATTCTGTAAATAAATAAAAAGAATACAAAAATATCTTTTTTGATATTATAGTGTTCTTGATATTTCAATTAATGTATGGCAATATTCTTTGTATTTAAAATATATGTATATGTACATGTATATAACATTAAGGTCCACAAATTGTGAACGTGTTGCAATAAACAAATTAATTGAAATTTAAAATTGTTCTTGTAATATTGATACTTCTTTTGTAGTTTTTTTATAATTTTTATTATTTACATAAAAATGTAATTTTTTTTTACATAACTTATCGATGTACTTGGTAATTTTTCAACCAAGTCAAAATCAAAAATCAGTTATGATGAATACATGTTGTTTACAAACAATGCAATCGTCATAATAAAGATTTAACCTTAATTACTTTGTACTTTATTATAGAGTAGTATTATTATCATAAAGACAATTAAATCGTTAGAGGAAGCTATAATAACGTAAATATGTTAATTTTATATTGCAATTAATAAAATTTATGAATGTTTCTTGATTTTTCAAATTTTTGCATCTGATTTGCTTGTTGATTTATCATTACACACATACTTAATATAAGTGTTTTTTTATTTGCTTCATTTTATATTTAATTTGACTTATTTCTAATGAAAGCAATAAATATATGAAATTGTCATTAGTAACTTGTGTGTATAATATATTCTGTATGAAATGTAATTAAGATATAACTGTTATGATTTGTTATTAAAGTTAAAATATAAACAATTTCTTAATATAATATATACATATTATAATAATAACAAATTATAAAAACAAATTATCTCACGAAATTCTCAAGCAATTATTTATATTTATTTTTTTATTTATAATTATACTTTTTTAAATTTCAGATTATTTTTACAATGAGTTTATATGATGATATTCAAAAATTAAGCAAAATACCTGAGACAAATGAGAATGTTGTATTTATACGTCGAGAGGAATCTGATATAGTTAAACGAAATCCAAAATTAAGGAAACTTAGACCTCCACGAAATGAAAATGTTAGTAATTGTATTGCTTCAGTATATTCAAAAATAAACATCATTTTTAGACACATAATTCAATTGAAAGAAATAAATGGCAATATAATGTAATCAAATAACTAGAGATAATAGCAATTATTAAATAATTATACAACTAAAGAAATATTTTCATTATTTTAAATGTTTGCAGTTATATGATTTTGATACTAGCAGTCAAAGCTATAATCTACCTCAAGAAAATATCTTGCGAGAAAATGAAATTGCATCCTCTATTATAGCAGTAAATATAATGTATAAACTTTGACATATTAAATTGTAACAGATACATGGGATATATAAGTAGATTTTAATTTGTAGGCAAATTGTGGTATTAATTATTCAAATGAAAAACTTGAAGAACATTGGAAAATTAGACAAAAGAAAGCTAGTTTATATTCCAAAGACACTAGTTTTGAGAAGAACATACAGTCTGATAATTGTGATCATAAAAATTTAACTACAGAAATTAGTAATGAAAATACCAAGATTGAAGATAAAGACAATATTGAAAATGTTGAAAATATTTTAAAAAAATGTAGACTTAATAAAAATGCAGTAATTAAAGGGCTTCTAAAAAGTCAGAAAATATCAATAAATGACTTATATGTACCAAATGATTCCATAGACAAAAAAGATAACATGCTGGTTAGTATAAAGTATTATTTTAAATTATCATTTATCATGATTATTAATTAAAATAACACAATAGGATGAAAATATTCCTTCATCAAGTCAAGAAAATTATATTGTTCAATGCCCAGAAGCCTCAGAAGTATTTGTTCCATCTTTACAACTTGGTCCTATAGCTGAAGATAAATATAAAGATATTGACTTTACTGTACCACATATAGGTAAAAAAAAAGCAATTACACCACTACAATTTTATATTAATATGGATGATTCTGAATTCAATTTTGTAAAAACAGGTACAGTGAAAAAAAAACCCAATTAAACAAAAATAAATAATTTAATTTTATTATTGATTTTTTTACATAAATTCTGAATATTAAAAAAAATTAAATCAAAGTATCTTTACTGTTATTTTTTAAATTTAGTAATATCGGTATTATATATTTTTCAAACAATGGATTACTTTATGTTCCTCTATTTTAAAGTAGAGATTTCTGTTAGGAAACTAAAAATTATATCTTTGTAATAAATGATATATTTTTATACATACTTTTGCAATAATTATATATGAAATCACTGAATATTTAAGTTCCATGTGTATGATTTTATATTTTTCATACTTAAAAAATGTATTCGAATAACTTTTTCAGAATTTTATTTGATAATTAATTAGATTTTTTCACATTATAAGGTTAAATTTTTATGAATCAAGTAATAAGCGTTATATAAGATATTGCAGAGAATAAAAGGAGTTTGTACATAGCATTTTTTTAATGTTACAATAAATACTTTTTTTTTAAATTGTCACAATAAATACTTTTTCATATTGATATCTAAATTATGTATTTTAGATTTCCTTACGCAATTTAGAAATATATTTTTTAATTAAATTAGAATATTATTATAATACCGTTTTGATATTACAATACACTGAAAATAATATTTATTGTAATTTTAATAATTTTAAAATATTTAAGTTCTTAAAAAAGTGTATACAGTGTTCCACGACTCATAGAAAACCGATTGGGAAGTGGGAGGTAATTCTATATGTGAAAATGAATTGAAAAGGAAAAATAAAATTTTTCTTTCCGAGCTTCGTTTTCAAGAAAATCGACTGAAATATTTTTTAAGTTAAATTTAGATTAAATTAATTTATAATAACTGGATAAAAATAAATACTTTAATGAATAAAAATAAAGATTATTCTATGTAAGAAAATAAACGAAAAATCTAAAATACAATTTTTTCACAATATGTTTTGTTTTTGAGAAAATTCAAGATGAAAATTTATCATGTACACGTATAAAAAATTTTAAACGAAATATATTCAAAACCTATTTTCTTGAAAATGATACCTTAAAATTTTCCATATTTTTCATTTATTTTTCTACGTGGAATATCTTTATGATTTGTCGCATCTGCCCAAAACGAAATTAGCCAAATTTAGGTATATTTGATAAATTTTCAAATTTGATTTTTTTGGAAATGAAGACTTTAATGAAAAAATTTTATTCTTCTTTTTCTACTCATTTTTACATTTCGACTTACTTTCTCAGTTGGTTCATTATGAATCACGAATCATCCTGTATAATAAATTTTATAAAATTTTATAAAATAATTATAAAAAATTTACAAAAATTAATTATTTATCTTTAAAATAAGATTAATTGAATTGAATTTGTAAAAACCAGTATTACCTTTGATTTTACTTGTTTAATTTGCAATGAATTATTTTTTTCTACGTACAATTTTTTGTAATAAATAAACCATAAAAGAAATAAATAATTTATTTTTTTAAAACCTCAAATATAAATCATATATCTGAAATGAAACTAAAAAGCTTTCAAGAAAAGGAATTGATCAATTTAATTTTTCAAAGGTTTCATTTATATACATAAAATTATAAAATGAAATAATTTAATGCTATCAATTCTTATTATTTTAACTATTATATACATTAGTAAGTTTATCGTTTGTCAGGAAATTAGTTAAATAATAACATTTTTAATTTTACTTTTCCCTATAGTGTTTTATTTAATAATACTTTTTTAAATATTTTTACACATTGTGATACAAAATAATATAAATATTTTATTACAAGTAAATTATTTTAGTATTGTAGCTTTGCATAAGATACACATTTTATTGAACAGAAGTAACAATCAAATGGTAGAAGAGTAGTTTCTGTTGACTTTATAGTATTTGCTATTATACTTAAAGGAAATCTTACAAATTCTCTTATATAACAATGAAAACATGCATTGCCACAGATGCAATACTTTGCTTCATCTAAATATTTTACTAACGTAAATGGAATTATGCTTGCATCATATGAGCACCTATGTAAAAAAACATGTTTTTCAGAATATTAATATGTTTACACATAAAATAGACATATGTACATATGTTCATTTTTGTTATTAGTTATTAAGTCAAAACTAAAATACTGTTTAAATTATATATTATACAAACCTTATTTTCAGAAATGATCTGGCTGCACATTCAGTTAAATTCGGAACATCTATTTTACACATAGAATGTGAATCTACAAAAGAAAACTCATTATTTGATACATCTAGTGAAATGAGATGTAAATTCTTCATACTTCCAGGTAAATAATGCAAATTATTTTTTGATAAATCTAAATATTTCAAATTAAATAACTTTCCAAGACTTTGCGGTAAGTAAGATAACACATTTTGACTAACTGTCAAACTAACAAGACTGTCAAGCTTTCCAATTTGTTCTGGTAATCTTCGTAACTGAATTAAAAACAGAAAAACATATCTAATAATAAAATAAAGGTAAAAGTTGTAATAAATATTTTTTATGAAATATTAAATGGACACATACCAAGTTATTACTTATGTCCAATAGTTTTAGGTTTGATCTTATAGCAACTTGATCTAACCATGTCCATTTTAAAATTTTATCAAGTCGATTTTGTGATAAAATAAGTTCTTGTAGATGCTGTAATGTGCCTAATTCCTTTGGTAAAGATGAAATCTGATTGTTAGACAAATTCAAAACTTTTAAGCTCTGAAGTTTTAAAATTTGTCTGTCAAATGATTTTCTATTTAATCCTACTAAATATAATTCTTCAGTTGTCCTTGGAAAACCTTCTAAAGTTGGATACTCAGAAGATTTATTAACCACCACTTTAATCTTTGGTAAAGAAGACATACATTTTGGGTTTAAATTTGAAACAGCAAGAACTGATGGATTAATGTTTTTAGTTAGTATGAGTTTTAAGATATGAATAAAACTTTTAAGTTGAATTTTATCAGATTGAATAATTAAATCATGAGGTGGTTCTATAAAGCGAATTGTAGCTTTTCCTTCATCAATAAATGTTGTATATAGTTTATCTATATTATTATTAACCTGAACATATAAAATTTTTCAACTTTATTTCAAAAGGCTATGTATTTTAAATAACATTTTATTAGATACATTATTTTAATTTGCAGATTATATATGTGTATAAACATATTTACCTTATATTTAGTACCCTGTTTATTTTGTAATGTTTGCCAAAGAATATATATCTCTGTATTTTTTACTGTTTGTCTTCCAATTACTAAAATAGAACGTTGTGATCTCCTTCTTATTACATTTGTTGCAAATAATCTGTTATTCACTTCTACATTGCAATGAAGTTTCATTTTAACAAGTGCCCTATAAACAAGATAAAGTTGTCTTATTATTTTCATTATTTTTTTATTGCTTCTATGTAATTTTACTTCTATGTAATTTTAATATTACTTAATACGTACTTTTATTACATTTTTGTATATATATTTCTTAACTGATGACAATAAAACATAAACAAATTGTTTTTTTCGCGCGCAAAGCAAAAAACAAATACATGAAAATACTATTATCAAGATGTATATGTATGTAATTAATTTCTTACCAATCTAACCTATCAATTTTAATATATCAACTACGAATAAAGTTTAATATTTTTAACAATATTGAAACTATTCAGTATTACATTCACTTTTAATTTAAATAAATCGGGAAAATATTTATAAGTCAAAATAAGATATCTCACTACCGACTCACTAACTGCAAAAGAGATTCTGACAAAAACATTAAACGGCGGGAAAATAAACAGAAAATCGTTAACTATTCTGAAAAAAATCATCAGTATAAGACTTAATATTTACAAAACTACATTCAGAATCTAAATTACATTGGACAGATAAACTATAAAAGTATATTATTTTAAATAAATCTTAATTGTTCTAACAGTAAATATTATATTCATAGATTTATTAATGTAATGTATAAAAGTTCACGTAAGTTACTAATGTTTTATTAAGATTATTGTAAAGATTTATTAATGTAATGTATAAAAGTTTCAAATAGTAAGTTACTAATGTTTATTAATTATATTTATGTACATATTTATATATTTCTTTTTTTACAAAATATTTATAAATTTAAATGTGATTTATTACAATTAAAAATAATTACAAATTATATATTTTAAATTATATATTTTATATATTTTAAAATATAATTATCTAATACTTTGTAAATAATAATACAAGTTTTATGTATCAATTTGATAGCTTTAAATTATTTATTCTAAAAGTTTTACTAATTCTTTCTGAATTATTCACTACAAGGAACACGTAGAAGTAAAAGAAACATACACAATTTATAGAGTTATAATTTACAAAAAAAGGCTAGTTTATGAATAATCTATAATTGTTAATTTATTTTTTAGATTTATTTTATTATCTTATACTTCAAATTTCCATAAATACTTATACTGTAATAATAACATAACAAGTGATTAATATTATTCTGTTTAATAATACTTATTATTATAATATTACCACACAAGAAATTAAATAATAAAAAATATTTGTAGTCTACCAAGTTTTTTTATATTATTTCATAATAAACATTGTTGCATTCAAATCTAATCATCAATCAACTACAACTTAAAATAATATATTTAACATCAAATATAATATTCATAAATATATATAAATAATAATTAAACCATTTCTTAAATTAAACCTATATGTATATTTACCTATTCAGTTTTATTTTATTTTTTATTTTGAACAGAAGTTTAGTATTTTAAATATGTGATGTATTTAATTTTATAAAAGCAAAAGATTTATAGATTTATCTATCTGATAAGAATAATGTTTTAATACAAGTATATTGTGTATCGTGATAAAAGTTAAAAATTATATATGTTGAAGAAAATGATAATTTCTTGCAAAAAAATCTATTTTCTTTTTCTTTAAATCTAATTATTCTTGTTAATTCATTAAAACATTCAGGAAAGCTCAATAACTAAGGTTAACTAATTTATTGTTTAAATATTCATACTAAATTAATTTTGATTCCAAGATTTTTTAATATATATCAGACGTAGAAAAAGTTTTGTGTTTTTGAAAAAGAGTAACCATTGAAATTGAAATTATCTGTTATTGTAGAATTACAACCTTACTTTCATTTTTTGACATTTAATCCATATGGTAGATGTTATTATACACGTGAAAATAAATTGTATACGTTTTAATAAACAAAAGACTAATAAATAATAACTAATAAATAATGGAATCTTTTCAATTAAAAAATATTCTTAAGATCAAATATATGAAAAAATACAGTGATAATATCCAATATGGAACGGCAGGATTTCGAACAAAGTAATTATTTTATTTTTACAATTTAATAAACTATACATATATATAGTATATTTATTTTATTATAACTCAGTTAAATATCAGTTAAATTCTCTCTTAAATGTATTTAATTTTTTATTGTTTAAAAATATTATTATTTCAGTAAAATTAAAGTATAAGCTAAGAAATTAACTTAAAATATTTAAATTCAGGAACATAATTATATGTAAATGTCTTTAATTTTATAAATATTTTATGAATCGTGTTATGTTAATCGTATAATTTACATGCAGTTTATACAATTTTTATGTCACTTTTAATTTTCTATTAGGGCAAATGCTCTTGAACATGTTTTATATAGAATGGGATTGCTAGCAGTTTTGAGATCTAAAGTTAAAAATGGTAAGTTCATACATAAAATTCATTATATTGTATATTTTGGAAAATATATTTTTGCTCTATATTCTATTCTTAATGTTGAATTAAAGAGATCTTATTTTTTCATAGCTGCAATTGGTTTAATGATTACGGCAAGTCATAATATTGGATCTGATAATGGTGTGAAACTTGTAGATCCAGCTGGTGAAATGTTAGAAGCATCTTGGGAACAAATAGCTACCAATTTGGTTAATGTAGAAGATGCAAATTTAATTTCTACAATAGAGCATATTATAAAAGAAGAAAATATTAATATGTCTGCAGATGCAATTGTAATAACTGGTAGAGACACAAGAGAAAGTAGTCCTACATTATTAAATGCTGCTGTTATGGGAATTGAAACTTTGTATGGAATTGTACAAGATTTTGGTATAGTTACAACTCCTCAGTTACATTATCTTGTTGTATGTGCAAACACAAAAAGCAATTATGGTGATCCTACATTACATGGTTATTATGTAAAATTATCAGAAGCATTTAAATATGTAAGACAAGAGCAGATTAACAATGGACAGTATGTGGCAGAATTGTTACTAGATGCTGCCAATGGTGTTGGAGCTATTGCTGCAAAAGAATTTCAAAAGTATTTAGGAACAACACTTGCAATTAATATATACAATGATGGCAATGGCGAATTAAACTACATGGTATATTTTTTAATTACAATGTTTTTATTTAATTAAAATCTGATATTGTAATAGCTTTAATTTTTGTAGTGTGGAGCAGATTATGTCAAAGTGCAACACGTACCACCTGTAAACTTTTCCCTCAAACCAAATTTTAGATGTGTATCTATAGATGGTGATGCAGATAGAATTGTTTATTTCTATATGGACGAAGACAATAAATTTCATCTTTTGGATGGTGATAGAATAGCAACACTCATTGCTGAATATCTTAAAGAACTTTTAAAAGAAAGTCATTTATCGTTTCAACTTGGTTTAGTACAAACAGCGTATGCTAATGGTAGTTCTACTGATTATATCTTGAACGTATTAGTACGTATATTTTTTTTTACTGTTTATTAATGCTTTGAAATATTTTAGTATTTTTCACAAGACATAAATTATACATTGAATTTACGTTTATGTATATTATTTTTATTATTATCATTTTAGCAAATTCCAGTTGTTTGTGTATCGACTGGTATTAAACATTTACATAGTAAAGCGCTAGAATTTGATATAGGTGTATATTTTGAAGCAAATGGTCATGGCACTGTACTTTTCAAAGAAACTGTTATTAAAACAATTAAGGAAGTTGTCATAAATCCAGAGTAAATCTTATTTAATTACACTATGTGCATTTTTCACAATGTATAGATAGATATATATGTAAATATATATTACAGACGATCTACAAACGAGAAAGAAGCTGCCTCCAAATTATTAAATATAATAAATGTGATTAATCAGACAGTTGGAGATGCTTTAAGTGACATGTTACTAGTGGAAACAATTTTACATGCAAAAGGTTGGGATATTATGGAATGGGAAAAAATGTACGAAGATTTACCAAATAAACAACTAAAAGTGAAAGTTAATGATAAAAGTATTATTACAACAGCTAATGCAGGAAGACAATGTATAACACCTAAAGGATTACAAGATGAAATTGATAAAGTAGTATCACAGTATAAAAGAGGACGATCTTTTGTAAGGTAACTCGTAATTTTTACTATAGTTAATAATTCTTAAAAGTTTCTGCTTAAACTTGATTTAAGCACATTATGCTTGCTAAACTTATTTAAGTAAATAGTACATAAATAAAATTGTTTATGAAAATGTGAAATATTCAAATAATAAAATATTTTTATTTCTAGACCGTCAGGAACTGAAGATATTGTACGAATATATGCAGAATGCGAAAATTTGTGCGATCTTAATAAATTAATTATAGATGTAGCATTGTTAGTCTACGATTATGCAGGTGGAATTGGGCCTAAACCGCAACTTTCTTAATAAATAATTCTTTATTTTTTACTATATATATGTATTTTAAGTTTTATTAACGCACAAGTTTTAATAATTATAATTTATATAAATTATATGTTAATTATCATATTTTACATCAATCCCTCAACGATGACTTTCACATCATCATCGCCGATATCGATACGTCGTCGTAACCGTCCGACAGAATAGTAGGATGCAACAACAATCGTTCGTCTGTGAAAAGTTACATGAAAACCGATGCCGTCCATGTAAGAAAAATATTAGGAAACGTCATTGAAAGGTTAATTATAAATTATATACATTTATATATGTACATTTACATATGTTACATTATTATACAGTATCATATGCATTTATGCATATACACAGTATTGTGTACACAGTATTGAAAATTTTATACAAATTTTAATTAATTCATATATTTTAATATGTTCAAATCTATATTTTTACTATAAATTCCACAAAGAATGCGTTTTTCACTTCGTCATTGCAAAACTAACTATTAATCTCTTAATCGTTTGTTTAATCTAAATCATATGCAAATTTAAACGAATCATATGCAAATATTACCATATTTGAATAGACAATATATTCTGAACAAATAAAATTTCCTAAATTATGTTTCAACAAAATTATGATTCATGAAAATATATATATATATATATTCTAGATAATCAGCTATAGTATTATGGTACTTACTCGTTCATTTATCGTTGCAATGCTATAAAATTGAAGCTGGTACGCTGCTATTTTGTATTACATTATACAAGGTGTTTCAATTAAAAGAGGCTATCTAAATATCTTTTTCATTTTTTATGAACATTTTTCTTGTCGTAAATAATGAAGGAGATATTTAAGCCTCTTATAGCTGAGACAGT